AAAGCAATAACACACACACACACACACACACACACACACACACACACACACACACACACACACAGCAAGTACGAAGGATATAAAAACCTACAATGGCACAAGCAAATAACCATGTACGTACATTCCCTGGCCCTCACAAAATTTTTTTTTTAAATTGCCAATCGGAAGTCCACATAAGTACAGTATCTCCACAACGCTGGGGAAAGGAGGAGAAAGTGAATCAAAATGTGGGTCTACATAAAGAGACACCTGAAAAGGGGTGAGCTTTCAAATATAAAGCCTAGAAGGAAAAAGGGTGCATAATGACAGCTTGAATGTGAGTCAAAAACTATCAGGCCTCAAAGCTTTCTAAATGTAAGTTTAAAGTTATTATTTTCAACAAGATTTTGCCTCAAAAACATGGAAGTATCTTCAAATCAAAATACCAAAGAATTCATAATGGCTCCCAAAAACATCCAAAAATACATGGATTTTTTTTTAAGATGTTTTGAAGTATAGTGAGAGCAGAAAATAGAAATGCTGGCAAGATTTCACTGTGATAAAATTTAAAATACTTGCTAGTTTCTGACTCAGTCTCCAGTGTCTCTTTCTTCCCTCCCCCACTTATGAAACTGGGGTGTGAGGATTACAAATTGAATCCCTCACACTGACCTCTTCTTCAAGGTACTCTACCAAAATAAACCAAATATAACTGTAATCACTAGGCTATTTTTGGAAATTTTCCCAGGTTACTCTATTACATAGCAATCTCAATGGCATTTGATTTATATGAATCACACAGAAGGTAATATAAATTATTAAAAGACAAGCAATATTTGTAATAATAAACAGGATAAAATAAACATCACAGATTTCTCCCTCAACAATCCTGCCTTTTTATATGTTAGGGATTTCTTGGGCTTTTACAGGTTTTTATTTGTAAAAACCTAGAGGGAGTTATACTGAAAATATATGCAATGGAACAACATCATTGGTAAAATAGTAAAGTCCCAAGGGTAAAAATCAACACATTTTGGAAAAACAAGTCAACCTTCTTCTCTCCACACCCCAGGCAACTTACTCTGAGAATTTACTCTGAGAATTTTATTGAAAATAAATTCTATTCGATTTGAGTAATTATAGGAGATAAACCATGTTAGTGTTCTCCTTTCCCCTGTATTAATGAATTAGAATACACAAAAACCACAATAAAAATGATATAAAGGCTTATGAGCATCATTCAGATTTTTACTAGTCACTTTCATTTCATAAAACTGCCATTTCCATTAAAGCATTATGTAAAAAATGGGACTCTACTATACCAACATGCATATTTATCACTAATGAATTTAAACATTGCTTATAAAGTACAGAGTCAATTTTACAAATGAAATCTCCTTCAAAAGTTAGAAATTTCTCTTTTAAGAGAAGAAAAAAATGATTTGTCTCTCTAAACCACAACACATACTTTAATCATTTTTCTTCCTAATCTTCTATTCCTTAATTTAGATAATGTCCATACAAAACTAGGAATTAAACATCTAAAGTGTGAAATGAAATTTTTTTTTAGAAAATGAAGAAACATGAATTTGGGAGAATTAGTAGTCATCTTTGAAATTCTTATTCTTCTTTTAAATAATTTTTTTTTTTTTGAGTTGGAGTCTCACTCTGTCACCCAGACTGGGGTGCAGTGTTCCCTCCCGGCCACTGCAGCCTCGACCTGCTGGGCTCCGGTGACCCTTCCGCCTCAGTCTTCCAAGTAGCTGGAACTACAGGCACGCGCTACCACATCCGGCTAATTTTTTGATTTATTGTAGAGATGAGGTCTCGCCAAGTTGCCCAGGTGGGTCTCAAACCCACGGGCTCAGACAACCACTCACCTCAGCCTCCCAAAGAGCAGGATTACAGGCTGAGCCACCGAGCACAGCTTCTTTTTAATAATTTAAATAATGTTTTAATGTTTTATAGTATGCACATATTCATCAGCAAAAACTTTTTTGAGTTTGATAAATATGCTTACAAAATAGCATCAACTAACTGAATATGAATTCCTTGGCATGCTTTCAAAGGTATTCAGATAAAGTTAAGCAGATAAAGTTAAGCTATTTCCCCCAGGCCTCAGGACTTAAATTTTTGTCATTTCAAATTGTGTTTAAGACAGTAAGAAGACCTAGAATTGATCTGTTTTAAAAAGTAAACAATAGCCGGGCTCGGTGGCTCAGCCTGTAATCCCGCGCCTTTGGGAGGCTGAGGTGAGTGAATTGCCTGAGCCCGCGGGTTCGAGACCCGCCTGGGCAGTGAGACCTCATCTCTACAATAAATCAAAAAATCAGCTGGGGGTGGTGGCGCATGCCTGTAATTCCGGCTACTCGGAAGGCTGAGGCGGAAGGATCGCCGGAGCCCAGCAGGCCGAGGCTGCGGTGGCCGGGAGCGGCCACTGCACTCCAGTCTGGATGACAGAGTGAGACTCCAACTCAAAA